TTGGGGCCAGACACGGTGGCTCAAGCCTGTAATCCCAGCACTTTGGAAGTCCAAGGCAGGCAGATCATGAGGTCAGGAGTTTGAGGACAGCCTGACCAATACGGTGAAACCTGGTCTCTACTAAAAATGCAAAAATTAGCCAGGTGTGGTGGTGGGCACCTGCAATCTCAGCTACTTGGGAGGCTGAGGCAGGAAAATTGCTTGATCCTGGTAGGCAGAGGTTGCAGTGAGCCAAGATTGCACCACTGCACTCCAGCCTGAGTGACAGAGCAAGACTCCATCTCAAAAAAAAAAAAAAAAAATAATAATAATAATAATTAAGCTCTTTTTTAAAAAATTTATTTAATTCTCTAATTACTTGATCTTAGCCATGCCAAACTGCCAATATTTCTGACTTTTGAACTTTACTGACATAACCTCCCAGGTCAAATCAAAAGGTTGTATTTTTGTTTGTTTGTTTGTTTATTTTGTGGTGGATTCTCTCTATGTCTCCCAGGCTGGAGTGCTGTGGCCAAACAAGGCTCACTGCAACCTCAGCCTCCTGAAACCAGTAAGCTTTAACTATGGTTGTGAACCTAACCACAGGTGTACAAGGTATTTTCAAAAGATGGCAAGCAGTTTTTACAAAATCTAGAATCTTCAAAGGTAGCTCAGAGAAAGGAAAATTCAGGATGGTTCGTGAAGGGAAAGAGAATCAGTAAATATTCACGCAGATATCAAATCACAAAGGACTCATTTCCTAAGCCAGAAATTGAACCCTGAACTCAGGCTGCCCCTGTGACACAGCAAAGCCCAGCTACTGAGCTACAGCACTGAGCAGGCTCCATTGGCCTCTCCCAGAAGAAGCCTCCAGCAGTCAAAAGGTTGTTTACTGCTCAAGATCACTTTTATGGATAACTATAACATAAATTTCAAATTTTCTATATGCTGGATGGTAGAAACAAAGAGAAAATACTGCCACACGGCTACAAGGTCAAGCTCCCAATAAAATAAAACAAGAGGGAAACTTCATCCATTTTGTTGTTGTTTGTTACAGGGACTTCTTTTTTGTTTCTTTGTTTTTTAGCTTTTTGAGATGGAGTCTCACTCTGTCTCCCAGGCGGGAGTGCAGTGGCACGATCTCAGCTTACTGCAACCTCTGCTTCCCAAGTTCAAGCAATTCTTCCTGCCTCAGCCTCCTGAGTAGCTGGGACTACAGGCACCCGCCACCACCCTGGCTAATTTTTGTATTTTTAGTAGAGACAAGGTTTTGCCATGTTGGCAGGCTGGTCTTGAACCCCTGACTTCAGGTGATCCACCTGCCTTGGCCTCTCAAGGTGCTAGTATTACAAGAGTGAGTCACCATGCCCGGCCTGTTTCAGGGACTTCTGACCAGAAGTTCCAACATGTGATCTTTGAGGAAGATGGTGGCCCAGAGTAACAGAAAGGATAGGAGAGAGAGGGGGGGGGAGAGAGAAAGACAGCATTGCTTATGGTAGGACAGGAAAGTTGAGGAGCTCAGGAAAGCTAGAGAAAGACCCACGCATTGAATCAAAAGTTTAGGTGATCGCTTGTTGGTTGTGAAAGAATGTTTTTCACAGTCCCATCTGCTCTCAAGTTTCCCACTTTAGGGAGGAAAAAGCTCCACATGTTCCATGATCCTGTACTCGCCAATTCTGTCAGCCACAGCCATCAGGAAAAAATGCAAGGCAGATTAATCCAAAGACAAGGCCGGGCACGGTGGCTCATGCGTGTAATCGCAGCACTTTGGGAGGCCGACGTGGGTGGATTGGCTGAGGTCAGGAGTTCAAGACCGTCCTGAACAACATGGTGAAACCTTGTCTTTACTAAAAGTACAAAAATTATCTGGGTGTGGTGATGGGTGCCTGTAATCCCAGCTACTCAGGAGGCTGAGGCAGGAGAATCACTTGAATCTGGGAGGTGGAGGTTGCAGTGAGCCAAGATCTCGCCATTGCACTCCAGCCTATGCAACAAGAACGAGACTCCGTCTCAAAACAAGCAAACAAACACAAAGACAACAGTGGTTAACATTCCATAATGCCAAATCTAATCTTAGCTGAGAGGGACTTCACTGAGAGGGGCCTCTAACCCCCTAAATCTTAGGAAAGACTGTAAGCTTTTGAAGGTGCGTCTCAAACACAAGTTTCGTCAAGTGTTCTTGCCTTTTATTAAACGGGATCTTTTATCTTAATTGTCTTAGGAGACACTCTAACTCCCCTAAATTGGGCTACTAACCCAATCCCATTCCATACCCGGGTACGCCACCACTTACAAAAAGGTAGCCAAATGATGATTCTGTCTATTTCCTTTAGGTTGGGGGTTTCCTTAGTATCATCCCTTTGTGATTCACTGAAAAGAAGATTCCAGAAATGGTCCCAATCCAGAACCAAAGAGTGGGTTATTGGATCTCGTACAAGAAAGAATGCAGAGCTGGGGGTGGTGGCTCATGCCTATAACCCCAGCACTTGGGAGGCTAAGGCGGGTGGATCACTTGAGGTCAGGAGCTTGAGACCAGTCTGGCCAACATGGTGAAACCCCAACTCTACTAAAAATACAAAAATTAGCTGGGCATGGTGGTGCGCGTCTGAAATCCCAGCTCCTCCAGAGGCTGAGGCAGGAGAATCTCTTGAACCCAGGAGGCAGAGGTTGCAGTGAGACGAGATGGCGCCACTGCACTCCCGCCTGGGCGACTGAGCAGGACTCTGTCAAAAGATAGAAAAGAAAAAGAGAGAAAGAGAAAAAGGAAGGAAGGAAGGAAGGAAGGAAGGAAGGAAGGAAGGAAGGAAGGAAGGAAATAAATTTTGGGCGAGTCTACAGTGCAAAGCAAAAGCAAACTTATTAGGAAAGTAAAGGTATAAAAGAATAGCTACTCCTAGACATAGCAGCAGTGTGGGCTGCTCAATTAAAAATACTTAGTTATTTCTTGATTATATGCTAAACAACGGGTGGATTATTCATGAGTTTTGAAGAAAGGGATGTGCAATTCCCAGAACTAAGTATTTCTCTTCTTTTTAGACCATATACGGTAACTTTCTGATGTCGCCACGGCATTCATTAACTGTCATAGCACTGATGGGAATGTCTTTCGCATGCTAATGCGTTATAATTAACATGTAATGATCCGTGAGGACAATCAGAGGTCACTTTCATTCCCATCTTGGTTTTGGTGGATTTTTGTGGCTTCTCTACTGCAAACTGTTTTATCAGCAAGGTCTTTGTGAACTGCATCTTGTGCCAATCTCCTATTTATCCTGTGACTTAGAATGCCTGACCTCATGGAAAAGGGAGTCCTGTAGGTCTCAGTCCCACTTTACCCAGCACCTATTCCAGATGCAGTTGCAACGCCTCTGACATGGCCACAGAGTGCTGGAATGGGGCTGGTCTGAACTGCAATGTGCTGGAAAGGTAAAATACAAGGTTACATTGGAAGATTTAGCTTTAAAAATGTATGTGCTTTATTAACCATTACATACTAATCACATATTAAAATAATATTTTGGATATATTGGGCTGATTAAATTGTTAAAATCAATTCCACCTGTTATTCCACCTGTTTCTTTCTTTTTTATTTTGAGACAGAGTTGCTCTGTCACCAGGCCATAGTGCGGTGGCACAATCTCGGCTCACTGCAACCTCTGCCTCGTGGGTTCAGGCAATTCTCCTGCCTCGGCCTCCTGAGTAGCTGGGATTACAAGTGTCTGTCACCACGCTCGGCTAATTTTTGTATTTTTAGTAGAGATGGGGTTTTGCCATGTTAGCCAGGCTGATCTGGAATTCCTGATCTCAGGTGGTCCACCACCTCGTCTTCTGAACATGCAGAGATTACAACCGTGAGCCACTGAGCCCAGCTCTACCATTTTTATTTTCTTTTTAATATTTGGCTACTAGAAAATTCAAAATTTACATGTAGCTCATATTTTACTGCAGAGGATTGCCTCCTTTGTGAAATCTCAGGCTGCCTGCATGTATTAGTTCATTTTCACACTGCTATAAACAAATACCTCAGACTGAGTAATTTTTTTAAAGTGATTTAATTTAATCATAGTTCTACATATCTGAGGAATCCTCAGGAAAATTACAATCATGACCATGACAGAAGGTGAAGGGAAAGCAAGGCACATCTTACTTGGTGGAAAAAGAGAGAACCGGGGATGGGGGCATGTGTGCGGGGGGAGATGCCACATTTTAAAGCCATCAGGTTTCTTGAGAGCTCCCTTACTATCACAAGAACAGCATGAGGATAATCCCCCCTAATGATCCAATCACTTCCCACCTGGTCTCTGCCCTGACATGTGGAAAACACAATTTATTTTATTTTATTTATTTATTTATTTATTTATTTATTTATTTATTTATTTTCGAGACCGAGTCTTGCTCTTTCACCCAGGCTGCAGTGCAGTGGCACGATCTCGGTTCACTGCGAGCTCCACCCCCCGGGTTCAAGCGATTTTTCTGCCCCAGCCTCCTGAGTAGCTGGGACTACAGACGCCCGCAAACCACCCTGGCTAAGTTTTGTATTTTTAGTACAGACGAGGTTTCACCATATTGGCCAGGCTGGTCTTTAACTCCTGACCTCGTAATCCACCAGCCTCGGGCTCCCAAAGTGCTGGGATTACAGGCCTGAGCCACCACGCCTTGCCATGAATTACAATTTGAGATGAGATCTGGGTGGAGCCACAGAGCCAAACCATGTCACTGCAAAGGATCCGCAGTAAGGAAGGTCATAAAATCTGAAATTTTAAAAAAATTGTCATATTTTTTTAGTTTATGAATAACTATATTATATATCATTTACAAATGCATATTACGTTTTACAGAAGGTTAAATGCAAATGTCTTCTAGGGTTGGCCTGTCTCAGATCAGGGAAGAAGCCTTGGCTGTAAAGGTTGCAGTCTAACCTGTTATTTTTTGCTTGGTTTAGCCCAGTGTCTGATCACATTTTTCGTCACTCAGGGCATGAAGGGTGGGTCCTGAAACCTTATCCAATCAGGAGCAATGGATTAGGAATTGTCCAATCAGGCATGCAGCGGGAGAGAACAGGACGCTTCCGTAATTTTCCGGGTCGTTTGCGTTTCTCTGCGTCCAGAGCTCCAGTTCTTCTCCTTACTGCTCTGCTTCCTCCGCTCCTAGAGTCCAAGCCACTGTGGCCTTGTGTCCTGCAGGTATTCGCAGATTTATGGCTAAAAGACCGGGACACCCTGGAAGCCGAGAAATGGTGAGTGGTGGGTCTGTCATCGTGAGAAAGGGCTGGGGGCTGGTTGGAACCGGCTGAAAGTGGCTGTAGCAGGACCCAAACTTCCTCGCAGTCAGCTCTGGAGTCTCAGGACCAAATCCTCCTTGGCCCAGGTGGGCTCTTAGTCTCCTCCAGACATAATATGGTGCCTGGGCCAGCGGCTGGGACCCTGGGAGTTCTGTCTTTTTCCTCTGCAGTGGCTTTGCCCTGGGCTGGAGCCCTCTCTGGGCGGCTCCGCACTTCCAGCGCCTCATCTCACCCAGATTGGGTGGGAAAGTCATCAGGGCAGAGTCCTGACTCAGGGTGTGGGATTCATAAGTGGAAAAAGTTGTGGTCCCTGAGGTCCCTAGTTCCTCATTTCCTTTTAGAAATGTATGGGAATCACTGTAAAAATATTAGACAATTTGATCAAAATGTGATTCAAGAATCATAGAGCGCCCAGCTATGGTTTGTGGGTTGTGGTCCATGGGAAAGGCTTGAAGAAGTCTGTTATAAGTTGCATGATGAAGCAAACCAAATTCAGTAACTGCTTTGGTAAAGTTATGTAGTTTCCTTATTTGTAAGATCCAGGTGAAAATTTCTTGGTTATGTCATCACAGATTAATTAGCAGTCTGTGGTTGACTAGGCCTGAATTTTTTTCTTCAATGTAATAATTTCCAAGAAATGCAATTTTTTTTTTGTGAGGGAGTCTCGCTTTGTTGCCCTTGCTGGAGTGCAGTGGCGCAATCTCGGTTCACTGCAACCTCTGTCTGCCGGGTTCAATTATTGTCGCGCCTCAGGCTTCCGAGTAGCTGGGATTACGGGTGCCCTCACCGTGCCCGGCTAATTTTTGTGTTTTCAGTGGAGACGGGGTTTTACCATGTTGGCCAGGGTGGTCTCGAGCTCCTGACCTGAAATGATGTGCCCTTCTTGGCCTCCCAAAGTGCTGGGATTATAGGCGTGAGCCACCGCCCCGGCCACAGAGATACATTTGAGTTAGATTTTTGTTTTTTTAAGTGAGAGCCGAGAAAAGTCAATCCACCTTGGTCCAATTGCCTGCTGTTTAAATATTTGCCTGTGGAAAGCCACAGGAAACTGGCTTTCCCTTGCTGTTATTTTTATTTATTTATTTATTTTGAGACAGAGTCGCTTTGTCACTCAGGCTGCAGTGCAGTGGTGAGATCTCAGTTCACTGCAACCTCCATCTCCTGGGTTGAAGGGATTTTCCTGCCTCAGCCTCTCGAGTAGCTGGGATTAAAGGCACCGGCCACCACGCCCGGCTACTTTTTGTATTTTTAGTAAAGATAGAGTTTTGCCATGTTGGCCAGGCTGGTCTCAAACTCCTGGCCTCAAGTGATCTGCCCGCCTTCGCCTCAAAGTGCTAGGATTACAGGAATAGGCTATTGCAGGCAGCCTGCATTTTTCAACTGTGCCTTTTTCTTTCTTTCTTTCTTTCTTTCTTTCTTTCTTTCTTTCTTTTTAAGACGGAGCCTCATTCTGTCACCCAGGCTGGAGTGCAGTGACTCCATCTTGCCTCATTACAACCTCCGCCTCCCTGGTTCAAGTAATTATCCTGCCTCAGCCTCCTGAGTAACTAGGATTACAGGCCCACACCCAGCTACTTTTTGTATTTTTAGTAGAGATGGGGTTTCGCCATGTTGGCCAGGCTGGTCTCAAATGCCTGACCTTAGATGATCCGCCTGCTTGGCCTCCCAAGTGCTGGGATTACAGGCGTGAGCCACCACGCTGGGCCTCAACTGTGTCTTAAACAAGGTCTTGAGTCAATTTCCCTGTTCTCACAGACTAACTGGCCTGCAGTAAAATATTAAATTTCCAGTTCCATCTGACATTCCAAAATGCCAACTTTTCTAACTCACATTATTACCTATTTGTCCTTCCTTGTATGTTTCAGACACAGTACTTACACTAATTATTTTTTTTTAAAGTCATTGGATGACACTTAAAAAGTGCCATTCAATGCTTTGTAAAAAAAAAGTTTGCCATTTATAAATATTTCACATAAGAAGAAAGCAGAGGTCGGGTGCTATATACCCCATCTTTCCCAACTTTTTTTTTTTTTTTTTGTCTTATACATCTTTTCCATTTCACTGTTTCTTGGTTGCATGTTTTATAGTAAACTGGTTAACATAAGTACAGGATTTTGCAGAATTCTGTGAGTATCTTTATCAAATTATTGAACTTGAGGGACATTATGGGAGTCCCCAGTTTATAGACAGTAGCTGAGAAGCATAGATGGGTCCCTGGGATTTGTGACAGGCGTGTGCAGTGAGGGCGATATGGTGACACTGAGCTCTGAATTATGGTCCGTGCCGACTCTGGGTGGCATCAGGATGGAAATGTTAGACAAAAAGTTGGTGTTAAAAAATTGCTTGGTGCCAGCCTGGCCAACATGGTGAAACCCCATCTCTACTAAAAATACAAAAATTAGCCGAGCGTGGTGACAGGTGCCTGTAATCCCAGGTGTCAGAAAAGAGATATTACAGAGGCTTGGCCTGGAGGGGGACTCTGGGCATCTGGTAAGGGGAGGCTCTGTTCTCCTGCACACAGGCTGTCACACTGCACATTGTCTTGTGATTCTAGGTCTCCTCTCAGGGTGAAAAAAACTAAAAACTTAGAGAAAAGGAACTGTGATAACTGACCTCCTTTCAGAGCTGCCACCACGTGATTCTCACCCATTCACAGACAGACCCACTAGACATTGATGCGTCCACACCCCTCCCAGGACTAGGCACCACCCTCAAGAATTCTACCACAGCGCTTTTGTTTTTAGTGCTTCTTGCCAAAATCCAACCAAAGTGCCTACAAGTTTCCTGGCATATCCTCAACCCCAGAAACTGAATCTGCAGTAGCACCTGTTTCCTCCACTAATGTAGGGGTCCGTACCACTTGATCATGGTCTAATCTGCCTGCATGGACACAGGACTAAATCAGAGTATAGCCCCACGTGGACCACTGTCTGTAGCATAAGCCAGTCCTACCACTGACCTTGCACTCTTTCCCACTCACGAATTTTTTTTTTTTTTTTTTTTTTTTTTTTGAGATGGAGTCTTGCTCTGTCACCCAGGCTGGAGTGCAGTGGTGTGATCTTGGCTTGCTGCCACCTCCACCTCCCAGGTTCGAGAGACTCTCCTGCCTCCCTCCTGAGTAGCTGGAATTATAGGTGCGTGCCACCACGCCCGGCTAATTTTTGTATTTTTAATAGAGACAGGGTTTCACCATGTTGGCCAGGTTGGTCTCGAACTCCTGGCCTCAGGTGATCTGCCTGCCTCAGCCTCCCAAAGGGTTGGGATTATGGGTGTGAGCCACTGCGCCCGGCCAAATTTTTTTTCTTTTACCTTTTATTTTGGGTTCAAGAGTATATGTGCAAGTTATATAGGTAAAATCATATCATGAAGTTTTTGTGTACAGATTCTTTTATCACTCAGGACCTAAGCATAGTACCCAACAGATTTTTTTTTTTCTGATTTTCTTCATCCTCTGACCCTTCACCCTGTACTGGGCCTCAGTGTCTGTTCTCTTATTTGTGTCCACGTTTTCTCATTATTTTGCTCCCACTTATAAGTGACAACATACAGTATTTGATTCTCTATTCCTGCACTAGTTTTCTAAAAATAACGGTCTCCTGCTCCATTCATGTTGCTGCAACGGACATCATGATGTTCTTTCTTATAGCTGCATCATATTTCATGGTGTGTACATACCACGTTTTCTTTATCCAGTCTACCACTGAAGACATACAGGTTTATGTCTTGTTTTTTGTAAATAGTGCTGTAATAAACATATGCATGCATGTGTCCTTATGGTAGAATAACTTACATTCATTGGTAATATTCCCAGTTGTGGCATTGCTGGGTCAAATGGTAATTCTGTTTTCAGGTTACTGAAAAATTGCCAAACTGTTTTTCTCAATGGTTAAACAAATTTATACGCTCACCAGCAGGATATAAGCATTCCATTCTTCCATAACCTCACAAGCATCTGTTGTTTTTGGACTTTTTAGTCTGATTGTGTTTATATGAATTATTTCTTTTTTCTTCATTAATCTAATGTTTTATCTATCATTAATTTTTTCATAGAATCAACTTCTGGTTTCGTTGAACTTTTTTTTTGAGACAGAGTTTCACTCTTTCGCCCCTGGAATGCAGTGGGCGTAATCTCGGCTCACTGCAAACTCCGCCTTCTGGTTTCAAGCAATTCTCCTGCCTCAGCCTCCTGAGTAGGTGGGATTGCAGGTGCCCGCCATCACGCCCAGCTAATATTTGTATTTCTAGTAGAGACGGGATTTCACCATGTTGGCCAGGCTGGTCTCAAACTCCTGACATCATGATCTGCCCATCTCGACCTCCCAAAGTTCTGGGATTATAGGTGTGTGCCACTGTGCCTGGCCCATTAAACTTTTTATGGTTATTTATGTCTCACCTTCTACATTTCAGCTATCATTTTGGTTATTTCTTGTCTTTTGCTAGCTTTGAAGTTAGTTTGCTCTTACTTTTGGAATTCTTTTAATTATGACGTTAGATTTGTAAATTGAGATCTTTCTAACTCTTTGATGTGGATGTGTAGTGTTATACATTTTGTTCTTAACACTGCCTTAGCTGTGACCCAGAGCTTCTGGTATGTTGTATTTCAGCTCTAATTAGTTCCAAAACTTTTTTTATTTCTGCCTTAATTTCATTATTTACAAAATAGCCATTTGGAAGTTGATTATTCAATTCTTATGTAATTGTATCATTTCGGATGTTTTTTATATTGATTTATTGTTCTATACATTTTCTTTTAAAAATTAATGATAGAGACACATAAGAAATAAAACTGCTGTGCTCTTAATCTAAATGCTAAAAATTATTCAACACTTAGTAGCAACTCCCAGAGTGCTATGAAAATTAAATCACATTATGTGTTATTCCCCGTAGTGTTCTGTGACATGCTCCTGAGCACATAGTACCTGCTTAATAACCGTTTTATTAGTACATGTGTACACATTTCCCAAGTGCAGACTTACTCAGACATTGCTGCCTTCTGTTTTCTCTGTAAACTGAAAAAAGCCAACAAAAAATATAATATTTCAGGGTGGAGATTGGTTGTCTTTATTTGTATCACAAGTATGTGTATTGTGACAGACGTGGCGGGTGTAAGGGACTCTTTGCTGTGCCTGCTTTCTCTCGCTAATGCTAATAATGTGTCTGGGAAAGCACAATCAGCATTTACAGGGGACTTGTTGAAAAAGCCCATTCCTGGACCCTTTTGGATCCTGAAGAATCACTTTGCATAAAGCAGGGCCGAGATTACCAAGTGATTTATAAACTTGAGGGGTTCAAGATACATTCAGGAGAGTTTAGTTCAACCTTCGCATCTGAGGAAGGCTGCACTGCCTGCCCTGTTTGCGTTTGGTAGGAAGAGGTCAGTGCAGTTCATGCTGCCATTATGTAAAGAAATTTGCTGATGTCCGATACGGGAGGGCAGGGAAAAAGAAACTTATACTTTAATAGTTATGGAGAAGCTCGTTGTTCTGTCATTGCTCTTAAATCTTTTCAGTTATACGCAACAAAAATGGGTGAGTGTTTTCAGCAAGTCTCAGTCTTTCTGCCCGTGGATGTGTGTGGTGGTAGCAGGTGAATAGATTGTGCTTTAAAGGCGTATTCTCAAGATGCAGATTTGATATGTCGAGAGCATCTTATCTGAAAATACATTTCAGAGAAAGAGGAGGAAAAGGAAAAAATCACTTTTTCTCAGGTGAGCATGTCTCAGATCAAGAGCAGTGTCTGGGCCAGGCGTGGTGGTTTACACCTGTAATCCCAACACTTAGGGAGGCTGAGATGGGTGGATCACAAGGTCAGGAGTTTGAGAACAGCCTGACCAACATGGTGAAAATCCGTCTCTATTAAAAATACAAAAATTAGCCGGGCGTGGTAGTGCACACCTGTAATCTCAGCTACTCAGGAGGCTAAGGCAGGAGAATTGCTTGAACCCAGGAGGTGGAGGTTGCAGTGAGCCAAGATCACACCACTGCACTCCAGCCTGGTTGACAGAGCAAGACTCTGTCTAAAAAAAAAAAAAAAAAAAAAAAAGCAGTGTCCACTCTGCCTTTTGGAATGCCATGTGTTCAGAACTTGCAGATGTTTACTTCTCTGCTTGTGTTGTTTATACCTAATGAGTTTGTTTCAATTATTTTTTGCTATTTTTATGATAGTCTAGGGGTTCTGAAAAAAAATTTTTTTCTGTATAGCATAGCCTTCTCTTTTTGTTGTTTTGTTTTGTTTGTTTGAGTTTTCACTCTTGTGCCCCAGGCTGGAGTGCAATGGCACAATCTCAGCCCACTGCAACCTCCTCCACCTTGCGGGTTCAAGTGATTCTCCTGCCTCAGCCTCTCTATTAGCTGGGATTACAGGTGCTCACCACCATGCCCAGCTAATTTTTGTATTTTTAGTAGAGACAGGGTTTCACCATGTTGGCCAGGCTGGTCTCAAACTCCTGACCTCAGGCAATCCGCCCACCTCAGCCCCACAAAGTGCTGGGATTACAGGCACCAGCCACCGTGCCCGGCCATACCAAGCCTTCTAGGTATTTTCTTCATCTTGGATTCTTGTATGCCATGCAGAATTCTCACCACAAATTTATGACCTGCAATATTTAAAATGTTCCCATCGTAGCTGTTGAACATGAGAAGGTGTAAATACTCAATATTTCTATTGGGGAAACACAGTTGTCTTTGGATATTAATGAAAAGTGAAACATGTCTTGTTGAAGTTCCATCTGTGTGCTCTATTAGTTCCATGCAGAATAGGATTTAGAAAATGCTCACATAAACAGGATGGCATTTATTATCCAGAAAGTTCTGAAAAAACTATTAGGAGATACTTGCTTTCTAGGCTGCTAAAGAAAGGCTACTTAATGTTACTATTAAAAATTATAGAACAGGGAAGTTGTCTGTATCTTCAACTTTGCATAAAACTGATGTTTCTTTATAATTAAAATGGGCCAGGTGCAGTGGCTCATGCTAGTATATCCCAGCACTTTGGGAGGCCAAGGTGGGTGGATCACCTGAGGTTAGGAGTTCAAGACAAGCCTGGCCAACATGGAGAAACCCTGTCTCTACTAAAAATACAAAAATTAGCCATGCATGGTGGCACACACCTGTAATCCCAGCTACTTGAGAGGCTGAGGCAGGAGAATCACTTGAACCCAGGAGGCATAGTTTTCAGTGAGCCAAGATCACGCCACTGCACTCCAGCCTGGGCAACAGAGCGAGACTTGGTCTCCAAAAAGAAAAAAAGAAAAAAGAAAAGGAAAAAATAGACAAGTCCATATTGATGCTCTTAATTTAATAATTTATCGTCCAGAAAATTATACCTACAGTGGTATTGTGGATTGTCTGCTATCCTCTTTTCTCAGAGTTAGAGAATACTTCAGTGTTAAAAATTATCATTGAATAATTTTAGTCACTCTTATAAGTGAGAAACACTTCTTTTTACTCTTGAGTCAAATAAAAATCTCTGCCTATGGCCATGTGGTGAGTGTTTGTGTGTTCATGAGTGTTTTTTGTTGTTTTTGTTTTTTTTTTCAGGGACTGTTGACATTCAGAGACATAGCTATAGAATTCTCTCTGGAGGAATGGCAATGCCTGGATCGTGCTCAGCGGAATTTATATAGAGATGTGATGTTAGAGAACTACAGAAACTTGGTCTCCCTGGGTGAGGATAACTTCGATACACAATTCCTAATATATTGCCTTTCTCTCTTTTCTAAGATGATTTTGGTAATTTCTGCTTTGCATGAATGAATTTTAGCTCTCCGATTTTAAGAAAATCTTGGGGATTCATTGGTGTAGAACAAATTCTTCAAGACGTTTTATTTTGACCTGAACTTTTCCCTTTCCTGAGCTTATGTATCTTTCGCTCTAGGTTAGTGGCAATTCCAAAAATGTTGTGGCGTAAAAGAGCGTTGCCCATGCCTTAGAATTCAGTTGCCACCACCAGTTTTTGATTCAGCAATACTGAGTAGTGAAATTAAGGACCTACACATTTAAAATATTTTCTAAATAGTTAAAAAGTTCTATTATGACCAATATTAATTTTCTAGAATTTTCTAGTATATCCTCTTTACTAAGCATAATACTAATTTGGTAATTAAAGAATTCAGCAAGATTTATCTTACTTTTTTTTTCTTAATAAATCAGGTATTGCTGTCTCTAAGCCAGACTTGATCGCCTGTCTGGAGCAAAATAAAGAGCCTCGGAATATAAAGAGAAATGAGATGGTATCCAAACACCCAGGTAAGTGAGAGTGAATGAAGCAGATGACACAGATGAGAGATACACAAATCAAGGAGGAAGCCAGTCCTTAAAATGTGGTTTGGGGAGATGTGCTTCTATGGAAAGAGATTCTGAGAAGCCTGAGTCATTTTTTACTTTTGCTCTCAGATAGTGATACCTTCTGCCCCAGGCTTTTAAATTCTCTACGGATTCTACTTTCACTTCAGAAATCTCTCTTCAAGTTCAGCCAAAGTTTTCTTTGTGGCTTATCAGGGACTGCATAAACTGCTTTTCCATTGCTTTTGGAGTACACTAATATCTGCATATTTTTGAGAAACTCTGTTAAACCATTAAAAATTTTTTTGTGTCATGTCTAAAATGTGTGAGAATAGTAGTTTCTGTTTCATTTGTGGTTGTCTATTTTTCTGCACACGCCATTCCGTTTTCATTACTATAGACTTGAAATATAGTTTAAAGTTTTTTATAATTTATTTTTAAATTTTTATCCATGTATTTATTTATTTATTTAGAGGTTGGGTTATGAGACTTACTGTGGGGGGATATGCAAGCAGGATACCTCTTATGTCTTCATTTTACTGTGTTGCATATTTTAGATATAGATTCATGAATAGAATTGCTGTGTTGTATAATTTCATTTAGAATTATTCGAAGAACATTCATGATACTTTTTATGATAGTTGCATCTTTTTTCTCATCAACAACTTGAATAGGTTTCAATTTCTTTACATCATCTACATAGTTGGTGTTTTTGAAAAAATTTATAGTGGCCATTCTAATTGATATAAGGTAATTTTGTTTTGTATTGTGATTTTGTTTTGCATTTTTCTATAAATTATTAATTTTGTGCAACCTTTCAAATAGTTATCCCCATTTGTGTAACTTTTTTTATTAAAATTTAGTTTAATCATTTGTCCATTTCTTTCTTTCTTTCTTTTTTTTTTGAGACTGAATTTCACTCTTGTTGCCCAGGCTGCAGTGCAGTGGTGCAATTTTGGCTCAGGGCAACCTCTGCCTCCCGGGTTCAAACGATTCTCCTGCCTCAGCCTCCTGAGTAACTGGGATTATAGGAATGTGCCACCATGCCCGGCTAATTTTGTATTTTTAGTAGAGATGGGGTTTTGCCATGTTGGTCAGGTTGGTCTCAAACTCCTAGCCTCAGGTGATCTGCCCACCTCGGCCTCCCAAAGTTCTGGGATTACAAGAATGAGCCACCACGCCCAGCTTGCTTGACCATTTCTAAATCAAGTAATTCAGTTATCGTTGTCTACTTCTAGGTGTTGTTTATAAATTCTCAATATTAAGTTTTATCACATGTGATTTTCAAATATTGTCACCCATTTCGTGGGTGGCACTGTCACTCTATTAAATGTGTTATTTGATTACAGAAATTTTGAAGTTTAGTCCAGTTAAATTTGTGTGTTCTTCTCTTTGTTGCTCATGCATTTGATGGCATGTCTAAGAAAATGGTGCCAAGACCAATGTCATGTCTTTCCACTATATTTTTTTCTAAGAATTTCATTAGTTTTTTTTCAGTCTAAGTATTTTGTTTAAAATATTTTTTGTATATGATGCAATTAAAGCATCCAAGTTTATTTCGTCAATATAGATATCCAGTTTTCAACATTATCTGTTGAAGGGATGATATTTTCTCCATTGTCTGCTGATGGCAACTTTGTGGCAGATTATTTGGTCATGCACAGAAGAGTTCATTGCTGGTCTCCCTATTTTGTTCTGTCATGTCTTTATCTGTCTTTGTGTGGATACCACAGTTATTGTTATTGTTGCTTTTTATTATGTTTTAAAATTAAGAAGTATAATGCCTCTGTTTTTCATGTTTCTCTAGATATAGTTCAAAATAAATTTTAAAAATTTTAAATAATATTTCAGGAATAAATATACTTTTGGAATTTTGATACAGATTATATTAAATTTGTTAACCACTGTGAGTTATATTGACAACTAAGTTGTCACTTAACTATTTTGACCCTCAAGCAAAAATATTAAATTAAGTTAAATTATTTGACCTGTGCAAGAATACATTGAAGAGTGTGTTTATTTCCATATATTTTTTATTTGCCTATTTTACCTTTTTTCTTTTTGGCTTTATTCAGTTTTGGTTAGAAAAAAATAGGCTGTATGATTTTGCTCTTCTTAAATTTTTTTTTACACAGGGTTTCTTACTCTGTTGCCCATACTCTAATGCAGTAGCACTATCTTGGCTCACTGCAGCCTAAACCTCTTGGACTCAAGTAATCCTTCCACCTTGGCCTCCTGAGTGACTGACACTACAGACCTACCCCACCATGCCCAGCTAATTTTTAATTATTTGTAGAGACAGGGTCTCACCATGTTCCCAAGGCTGGTATCAAGCTTCTTGCCCCAAGTGATCCTTCCACCTTGGCCTCCCGAAGTACTGAGATTACACCTGTGAGCCACTGCACCTGGCTCATCTTTTGAAATTTACTAAGACCTATGTATTCTAACAGAATATACCAGGTGCAAATAAGAATATTGTGTACCCACTTGCTTTTGACTGGAGAGTTCTGTACGTGTCTGTTTAGCCTAGTTGATTTTATAATATGGTGTAGATGTTTGTGCCCTCCAAATCTCATGTTGAAATGTAATCTCCAGTGTTGGATGTGGGGCCTAATGAGAGGTGTTTGCATCATGGAGACAAATCCCTCATGAATGACTTGGCACAATCCCCTTGGTAATCATAGAGGGCTCCCTCTATTAATTCACATGAGAGCTGGTTGCTTAAAGGAACCTGGCTCCTCCACCTCACACTCGCATCATCTTTCACCATGTGACATGTTTGCCTTCCACTATAATTGTAAGCTTCCTCATATCCTCACCAGAAGCAGATGCTGGCATATACATCTTGTACAGTCTACTCAACTGTGAACCAAAGAAGTCTTTTTCTTTATAAATTACTCAGTCTCAGTTTATTTTCTATAGTAATGCAAAATGAATTCATACACAATATAATGTTCTTCAGGTTTTCTGTTTTTTTAATCGATTTTTTATTTCAATTTTTTATTTATTATTGAAAGTGAGGTCTTAATGTTTATAATTTTATGTTGCTATTTTGTTTCTTGCTTCATTTCTATCAATATTTGCTTTATATATTTTGAAGCCCTGATCTTATATATGCATGTACATATAGATAGACATAATAGTTATAGATTCCTAGTAAATTGACTCATTTTACCATTATATAATATCAATCTTTGTTTCATGTTAGTAATTCATTCATTTTCTTTTGTGTGTCTATAAAGATTTTTTCTTTGTGCTACATTGGAGATTTTATAACACCTCTAAATGTTACCACAGTATTTTTTAAACTGGTAAAAAAAAAATGACTTCAGTTGCATAGAAAAATTTGTCCTCATTTTATCTATCCTATACATCTTATTGATGTTGATAATTATATCTTTTTATGTTTTATGATTATTTTTATACTTGTATCTTTCAAATTTTAAAGAATAACTAAAAATGTTTTCTGCATGATCACGATAATGCCGCAGAATTTTATTTTTTGTATATGCATATGTTTTTCAAAAAGTTATATATTTTCATACAATTATGTATTTTTTTCATCATGTTATTTTAAGTGGAAGACCTCTTTTCAGCATTTTATTTAGGGCACATGCAGTGCTTATATGCTTTTCCAGCATGTGTTTATTCTGGAAGATCTTTATTTTTTCTTTATTTTGTAGTACATTTTTGCTGTGTTTATTATTCTCACCATGAAGATTTTTTTTTCAGTACTTTAACCATTGTACACAGTTCTTTATTGACCTGCAAGATTTCTATTGTCAAATGTTTCAGAGAACTATGCTTATAAATAATACCTCATTTTTATCTTACAGCTCCCAAGATTGTCTTCTGGTTAGCGACTTTTGAAACTTTGCTTAAAGATGTGTGATGGATCTTTTTGTGTATGTCCTAGTTTGTTTGTTTAGCTTCTTCATTTCTTACATTATTTTTTTCTTTTAAATTTTTTCAGTTATTCTTTTTTAATTCCACGATTGTTTTTATTATTCCAAGCTTATTTTTGATATTCTTATTTTTCTGATTTTATTTAGGTGTCTGGTTTTCCATTTTTCTCACTGAGCATAATATATTTTAAAATTTATTTTAAATTTAAAATATATTTTAAAAATTAATATATGCCTCTTTATTTTTATAGTTGCTTTTTCAAAATTTTTTTTTTATTAGACCATGTTGTCCTCATGTTTTGTATACATTGTAATCTTTGGTTGAGATTTAAACATTAACATAAAACTACCTTTCATGATCTTTATAATGCAGCTCTTTCCTGGCATAGCCTGAAACCAATTATCTTGGCTAGAGATTCACAGTCTCTCAAACATGTTTTCAGGATGTGTCTTGTCTGCAATTTTGCATTTATTTTTCAGTTAAAAGACTTCTCCATGTTTCCTCTTACCAGTAGGTAGCTACTTTCTACACCTGTTTTCTGCCCATGGACTGCAGTCTTTCTGCTGTTGTAACATTCACTTTTGATCCCAAAAGACTTAAAGGTGTCATTTCAAAAGTATACCACCATTTCATTCAGCACTTTCTATCATGGAAGACAGAAAGGCCCCTGTAAGCCAAAAGTAAAGATATAGGTCCCAGTATTTTTCTGGTCTTTTATAATAAAAAAACAGTTTGCTCCTAAAGACACCATATTCTTCTACTAGGGATGAGGAAGGGCTGTGTTGGGTGAATGTCGCAGACTTCTCTTTATATATGGCTCTTGGCATTGTGCCCACCTGATGCACACACTTACTTTATTTATAAATTTCCAGCAAAGGTATTTTGATCACTGTGGTTTTGTTACATTTATAAACCTATGAAGGAATTGTGGCCTGTGGTAATTTGATATGCCATTTTGCTAATGTACCTCGTATAATTTTATGATTTGTAAAGTATATGTATCTGAGTCTAGTAAGTGAAGTAACTTGTGATTTTTATGTCTTTCAGTTACATGTTCTCATTTCACCCAAGACCTTCAGCCAGAGCTGGGCATAAAAGATTCACTTCAAAAAGTAATACCGAGAATATATGGAAAATGTGAACATGAGAATTTACAAGTAAAAAAATGTAAAACCATGGGTGAGTGTGAGGTGCAAGAAGGAGGTTATAATGAAGTTAACCAATGTTTGTCAACTACCCAAAACAAAATATTTCAGACTCATAAATGTGTCAAAGTCTTCAGTAAATTTTCAAATTCCAATAGACATAAGACAAGACATAGTGGAAAGAAACATTTGAAATGTAAAAAATATGTCAAATCATTTTGTATGGTTTCACACCTAAATCAACATCAGATAATTCATACTATGGAGAAGTCCTACAAATGTGAAGAATGTGGCAAACCCTTTACCTGCTCATCAACCCTTACTAAACATAAAAGAATTCATACTGGAGAGAAACCCTACAGATGTGAGGAATGTGGCAAAGCTTTTACCTGGTCCTCAACCCTTACTAAACATAAGAGAATTCATACTGGAGAGAAACCCTACACATGTGAAGAATGTGGCAAAGCCTTTAGCCGCTCCTCAACACTTACGAACCACAAGAGAATTCATACTGGAGAGAAACCTTACACATGTGAAGAATGTGGCAAAGCCTTTAGCTTATCCTCATCGCTCACTTACCACAAGAGAATTCATACTGGAGAGAAACCCTACACGTGTGAAGAATGTGGCAAAGCCTTTAACTGCCTCTCAACCCTTAAGAAACATAAGATAATTCATACCGGAGAGAAACTCTACAAATGTAAAGAATGTGGGAAAGCCTTTGCCTTCTCCTCAACTCTTAATGCTCATAAGAGGATTCATACTGGAGAGAAACCCTACAAATGTGAAGAATGTGACAAAGCTTTTAAGTGGTCCTCAAGTCTTGCTAATCATAAGAGTATGCATACTGGAGAGAAACCCTACAAATGTGAGTAACGTGATAAAGTCCAGCCCTCAGGCCTTATAATACATAAAATAACTAAAAAAAATCACTACAAGTGTGGAGAATGTGGCCAAGCCTTTAACCAGTTCCAAGCCTTTATTGTACATAAGATAATTCATATTGAACAAAAGTCTTATAAATGTAAAAAAGTAATAAAGCCTTTAACCAGCCCTCAAACCTTAAGGAACCCAAGAGAATTTATTTAAACAAAATTTTTTTGAGATGAAGTCTCACTTTGTCACCCATGCTGGAGTGCAGTGACATGATCTCAGCTCACTGCAACCTCTGCCTCTTGGGTTCAAGCAATTCTCCTGCCTCAGCCTCCTGAGTTGCTGGGATTACAGGCGCATGCAACCACACTGGCTGATTTTGTATTTTTAGGGATTTTACCGTGTTGGCCAGGTTGGTCTTGAACTCCTGACTTCAGGTGATCTACCTGCCTCTCAGCTTCCCAAAGCCTAAGAGAGTATATTAGACTCTACAAAGGTAAAAAATGTGGCAAAACCTTTAAGCACATCTCAGGCCTTACACAGTATCAGATTATTTATTCTAGAGAGAAACCCTACAAAAACAAAGAATGTGGTTAAAAGCTTTAGCTTTTAACTAATCTTGAACCCTTATTATACATTAAGAGAATTAATATTGAAGAGAAACCCTACAATAAGGAATATAGAAATGTCTTTTAAAAGTCCTCAAACATTTGTTTGAATAAATGTAAGATAATTGATATCGGAGACAACCCCTACAATTGTTAAAAAAAAAAAAAAAAAATTGTGGCAAAGCATTTAACAGGTTCTCCATCCTTATTAATTAAAAAAGTTTATACTGGAGAGAAACTCTACATACATAAAAAATATAACAGAGCATTTAACCACACCTCAAACTTTTCTAAAAAAGAGAAATCATACTGGTGAGAAACTCCAGAAATGTGTTAAATGTGGCAAGGCCTTTAAATGGTAGTCACACGTTTATGGTAGGTAGGATAATTTATACTGAAGAAAACCCCTACAAATATGGAGAATGTGGCAAAACTTTTAACAAATACTCACCTTATGGCACAAGAAAGCATTTATACTAGAGAAAAATTGTACAAATACAAAGAATGTGAAAAGCCATTAATATCTGTTCATATCTTACTCAATATCAGAAAGTTTATACTTAATAAAAGCATTATAACCCAGGTGTGGTGGCTTATGACTATAATCCCAGCACTTTGGGAGGCCAAGGCAGGCGGATCACAAGGTCAGGAGTTCAAGACCAACCTGGCCAACATGGTGAAACCCCATCTCTACTAAAAATAGAAAAATTAGCAGGACGTGGTAGCATGCACCTGTAATCTCAGCTACTTAGGAAGCTGGGGCAGGAGAATTACTCGAACCCAGGGTGTAGAGGTTGCAGTGAGCCGAGATCGCACCACTGTACTCCAGCCTGGGCAACAGAGCAAGACTCCATCTCAAAAAAAAAAGTATTATAAATGTGATTACTATAAAAAGACCTTCAGAAAATTTAGGCCTTTAAAGACTATCTGAAGACAAACATTTCAAACATAAAGAGGATTATAGTACCTTTACTTGTAATACAGATTTTATTGTACACATTTTATATTACAGGAAAACCCTGAAGCAGATGCTCAAACTTTAATGAACATCAGAGGATTTATATTTGAGAGAAAGTCTAAAAATGTAATGAATGTGAAAGAACATTTGTTTGAAAACTATAGCTTAGAAAACACCAGTTTCTACTAGAAAATATTTTTGCATATGTAGCAAATGGGGAAAATATATTTAATCAAAAATTAAGTCTGTATAAACATTTGAGGATTCACAGTAGAAAGAATGAAGGCACTGAAACTTCAGACATTATATTAAATCAGAGTGTTGAGTGTAAAAGAGATCCGAAGATATCACTATATACATTTTAAAGAAGTAGATTTTTTTGGAGATTTATAATTACATTCGAGGAATGCTGCTTTTTCTGTAAAAAAAATTATAGATTTTCTAAGAAGCAAATAATAATGTAACTCAAGTCTCAAGTTCCTTCACGTTGATTCCTTCTTCCCATTGTTTGTGAAAGTATTTGATCAATTGCATCAGAGGTATGAGAGGTTGTTTTCTATAGGTGTCCATTCTTCATGAACTTTCCTATGAAAGAGTAAGGACATTAGGCTGTAAGATGCATAATGAAAAATCTAAATGGAGAGGCTCTTTGTGGCTGACTTATAACATTGTTTTAGTGATGTATAAGGTGGGTGTTCACAGTAATATTCTGAATTCTAGTGAGAGGAAACTCTTTGAATGTTAGTAGTATTTTATCAATTGTACCTTTATGTAATACAATGCAATAAATTTAAAATTTTTTAAAAGATTATGTGTGAACCTAATTTTTTCATTAAACATAATTGTTTTTAATGTGTTAAGACTATTGTGCTTTGAAAGAAGTGTTAATTTGCCATCAACTTTAACGTGTCCAATCTTACATAAGGCTCTAGGTAAAAGATGGTAACAATATAGTATTTGTTAATGTAGGGGAATGACATCTCTAGTAATCTCTTTTTTGCCAGTGTGTGTGTGTGTGTGTGTATTTGTTTTGGAGCGGAGTCTTGCTCTGTCACCCAGGCTGGAGTGCAGCAGCGAAATCTCGGCTCACTGCAACCTCCACCTCCTGGGTCCAAGCGATTCTCCTGCCTCAGCCTCCCAAGTAGCTGGGACTACAGGCATGTGCCACCAAACTTGGCTAATTTTTGTATTTTTAGTAGAGATGGAGTTTCACCATATTGGCCAGGCTAGTCTCGAACTCCAGACCTTAGGTGATCCACTTGCCTTGGCATCCCAAAATGCTGGGATATAGGTGTGAGCCACCACGCCTTGCCTGCCAGTGGTTTTAAACTGCAAATAAGTTGAAGAATTTTGTTCCCATAGGTCAAATTTGTATTCTTTTTTATCTTATTTAAATTTTTTTAAAATTTTTGTGGGTAGTGTGCATACACACTTATGGCATATATGAGATATTTTAACACAGACATACAATATTTAATTATCACAGCAGAGTAAATGAGGTATTTATCACCTCGAGCATGTACTTTTCCTTTGTATTACAAACAATCCCATTATACACTTTTAGTTACTTCAGTATGTGCAATTGAATTATTATTAGCCATAGGGTCATTTTCTGATCATAAAAATTTCATGAGTATAATTAATATCCATACATTTCTGAGTCATGATTAAATTTTTTTTTTTTTTTTTGAGACGGAGTCTCGATCTATCGCCCAGGCTGGAGTGCAGTGGCTGGATCTCAGCTCACTGCAAGCTCGGCCTCCCGGGTTTACCCCATTCTCCTGCGTCAGCCTCCGGAGTAGCTGGGACTACAGGCACCCGCCACCTCGCCCGGCTAGTTTTTTGTATTTTTTTTTTTTAGTAGAGACGGGGTTTCACCTTGTTATCCAGGATGGTGTCGATCTCCTGACCTCGTGATCCACCCGTCTCAGCCTCCCAAAGTGCTGGGATTACAGGCTTGAGCCACCGCGCCCGGCCATGATTAAATTTTTTTTTTTGTTTTATATATTTTTTTACATGTGGCCTCTCTGCTGACAAACAAAAACAGACTTAGTTTTTATCTACATAGTTACATATACAAATGTATTACTCTAAAGATACACCAGCTGGGTGCAGTGGCTCATGCCTGTAATCCTAGCACTTTGGGAGGCCAAGGTGGGTGGGTCATTTGAGGTCAGGAGTTCAAGACAAGCCTGGCCAACATGGTAAAACCCCATCTCTTCTAAAAATACAAAAAATTAACTGGCCATGGTCATGTGTGCCTGTAGTCCCAGCTACCCGGGAAGCTGAAGCAGGAGAATCGCTTGAACCCGGGAGGCAGAGGTTGCCGTGAGCTAAGATGGCACCATTGAACTCCAGCCTGGGTGACAAAGTGAGACACCATCTGAAAAAATTAAATAAATAAAAAGATATACCTTAAGTGTAAGAAAGTTATATAGCAAATGAGTGTGTTTGCGTGTGAGTCTGTATGCATTTTCAGAAGAAAAGAACAATATTGAAACAAAAAAGATCATTTTAATAAGGTGGATAATTAACTAGAAACCTAGAAACCTCAGATATTCTGAAAGAAAAAAAAGCTATATCCTGTGCCCTGTATTGAATTCATAACTTTAAGATCTTATACACCCAAATCTTATCTCAAATTGTAATTGCCGCGTGTCAAGGGAGGGACTTGGTGGGAGGTAGTTGGAACGTGGGGGAAATTTTCCCCCATGCTGTTCTCATGATAGTAAGTGAGTTCTCAAAAGATCTTTTGGTTTTATAAGTGGTGGTTTTTTCTGCTCTCCTTCTCTCTTGCTGCCTAGTGAGGAAGGTACTTGCTTCTCCTTTGCCTTCCACCATAATTGTAGGTTTCCTTAGACCCTAACCAACCATGCAGAATTGTGAGTAAATTAAGCCTCCTTTCTTTATAAATTACCCATTCTCTGGTAGTATCTTTAATAGTAGTGTGAAAACAGACTAATATAGAAAATTAATACTGGGAGTTTGGGGCACTGTTATAAAGATAATTGAAAATATGGAAGTGGACTTTGGAACTGGGTAATAGGCAGACATTGAAACAGTTTAGAGAGCTCAGACAAAGACAGAAGATGTGGGAAAGTTTGGAACTTCCTAGAGACTTGTAAATGCTTTTGACCAAAATGCTAATAGTGATATGAATGATAAAGTCCAGGTTGACGTGGTCTCAGATGGAGATAAGAAACTTATGTTTAAAATGGAAGCAGAATATAAAAATTTGGAAAATTTGCAGCCTGACCATGAGGTAGAAAATAAAACCCCATTTTTTGGAAAGAAATTCAAACCACTGCAGAAATTTGCAAAAGTAAAGAGGAGCTCAAAGTTAATAGTCAAGACAATGGGGAAAATGTCTTCAGGTCATGTCAAAGATCTGAGAGGCAGGTCCTTCCATCACAGACCAGGAGCCCTAGGAGGAAACAATGGTTTCATGGTCAAGGCCCAGGACCCCACTGCTCTATGAAGCCTCAGAACTTGGTGCCCTGCATCCCAGCTACTCCAGATCCAGCTGTGGCTAAAAGGGGCCAAGGGACAGCTTGGGTTATTTCTTTAGAAAGGGCAATCCTTAAGCCTTGGTGGCTTCCATGTGGTGTTGGGCATGCGAGTACACATAAGACAAGCATTGAGCTCTGGGAACCTTTGCCTAGATTTCAGAGGATGTATAAAAA